ATGACACATGGCTTGACAATGCCCAGGTCTGTTCTAAAGCGATTCAGGAATAGTGAATGTGACTTTTTTAGTATCAATACCTGTGAAAATGAGTATCTAGTTTTGATACTAGTTTTGATTCAGGTCTGATTTTCAATATTTCTGACAAGTTGATTAGATAATTTTCTTGAGAGTGTATGTTTGCCCACTTTGTTGAACTGTGTTGATTCCACTGTGCTGGTGTGAGCCTCTGACTGTCTGGGTTCAAATGTAACAAACTCACTAGTGTCGTAGTACTCAAGACCGGTCTTGTCTCGACACCTCTTTTTTACGGTCTTGGTCTTGTCTCAGACTCGAACGCATTTGGACTCGGTCTTGTCTCTGTCTTGATGGAGCTTGGTCTCGGTCTTGTCTCGGTCTTGATGGAGCTTGGTCTCGGTCTTGTCTCGGTCTTGATGGAGCTTGGTCTCGGTCTTGTCTCGGTCTTGATGGAGCTTGGTCTCGGTCTTGTCTCGGTCTTGATGGAGCTTGGTCTCTGTCTTGTCTTGGATTTGAGGTCTGACGCTCAACGAGTGTGATCAAATTTCATTACTCACTGCAAAAACGAAAATCAGGTCAAGTTAAGATGACTTTGGTTAAGAAAGTTTTATCATGATTTATGTAAATTTCACTTGAAGGGTAAAATTATCTGTCAGTGGAACAAGACTTTAAGTACTTAAAATATGAAAATATGTCTAAAACAGCAACTCTTTGCACTTAAAATAAGAAACTAAATCTAATGTTACTTGAATTAAGGAAAACATATTTATTCTATTGGTAGATCATTTTACCTGTCATGTTGAATCAACTCAAATACAGTCAAAAGCTCTTAATTTAAGTCATTCTAATTTACACAGATATTACTTTTTGCTGTATGGCTGGTAAATGTGCAGAAGCTAAATATCACTGCAAAAGCAGTAAGAGAATGTAACTGTAAAACTAATGACCCACTGATTCACTTTGGAGTTGTTTTGTGTAACGTGCCAGTGGGATTAAAAAAGGGTTTCTCAAACTGTGGAGTGTTGTCCAGCACAGTTTGTTTGGATTATTTTAATCCTAAATGAACATTAACCAGATTAAATCCTAAATGAACATTAACCAGATTAAATGAAGGTGGTTTCATAAAGAACATTGATATAAATGTGCCAAAATATCTATAAAATACAAATAAATGTAGAAAATGACAAAGATGGTCTCGATTTGGTCTCGATGGGCTGTGGTCTCTGCCTTGTCTCGTCTCGACCCTCAGAGGTCTCGGTCTTGTCTCGGTCTCGGGACCCTGTGGTCTCAGACTGGTCTTGGTCTCGATTAGTGCGCTCTTGACTACAACACTAAAACTCACATCTGGAGTGTGAAGAGTTCATGAGTGACAGGTGCATTCAGGGGCCAGCTGCAGTGTGGGAATGTGCAGAACTGCAAACAAACTGGTTGTCTGGTCGGACAGGTTTACATCACAGGACAAGGAAATACCAATCAATCAATACACAATAGAGCAGAAGTCTAACCTGCAACCTGTTTACTGAGAGGAAGGGACAGGCTAAACACTCTGCCACAGCAACACAACGAAGACAGAGAGATCAGGAGTCTAACCCACAACCTTTTTACTGTTTTAAGTGCTGGAGAAAAAGACCACAGACTGTATAAAGAACTAAGACTGTGTGACGTCACCCACAGCGTTCGGCTCCAGTCAAATGAAGCTCATCGAGGCTTATAGTTAGTGCATTTGGAGCCAGTTCCATATTTGGAATTCTGACCGCGGGTATCATAGCAACCAAAGAGCCAATCCGAAGCGAGGATATTGAAGCTCGTACTGGTTTAGGAGGGAGCAGGCCTTAGCAGCTTAGAATCAAACTGAGAGTGACCAGAATTTCCAAATAAAAAAATTGGGACATTCACATTTTTTATTTTTTTTGGTGGTTGGTAATAATAAAATAGTGAAACGAGTGCATAATTAAGGAAAACAGTTACGGAAAGAACATTCAGGACTAACATGTGAGTCAGTATAGTCACGTTTTCTTTGTGTTTTGGTCATTTTTAAGATTTCTTTTTTTTGTATTTTACCTACACAAATTACAGTTTATGCCTTTTTCTTTAGTGTTGGGAAGGATCAAACACCTGTGACATTTCTTGTATAAAACTGGGACAAATCAGTGGTTTTGGATGCATCCGCCGGGGCAGGGGCACAGACTCAAAACTGTGGGACTGTCTCGGGTAAATAAAGACGTGACCTGTTGGAAATGCTGTGAAGAGCGACCTCGGTGAAAGCAGACTCCTGACTTGTTATTATTAAGCTTCATATGTTGATTGATGAACAGAATAGTGAAATAAAAACACCAGGATCCTGTAGACTGGGTTGATACGAACATTTTAAGATTAAAATGACGTGGTTCAGAGCAGAAAGCAGAGTCAATCTGTGTGTCATTTTTCAGCATAAAACCAAAAATAAGAACATGAAAAAAACAACTATTTTCTTCATTATTTGTCTCTAAAACCAAAATGAAAAAATTAATAATAATCTTTTTCTTTTTTTTTTTTCTGTTTTCGATTTTGTGTTTAAATGAATAATGGAAAAAATGGGTAACGGCCATTTCCTGTTTACGTGACTTAAATTGCAATGGCGGAATTTTGCACCGTATACAGACTGAACCAGGACTAAACCAGGACTAAACCAGGACTAAACCAGGACTAAACCGGTCTGAGTCCCTGGTCTGGTCCCGGTCTTAGTCCGGATCTGGTCCCAGTCTTAGTCCTGGTCTCAGTCCTGGTCTGGTACCGGTCTCAGTCCTGCTCTCAGTACTGGTCTAATCCTGGTCTGGTCTTGGTCTCAGTCTCGATCTGATCCCAGTCTTAGTCCTGGTCTCAGTGCTGGTCTCAGTCCTGCTCTCAGTACTGGTCTATTCCTGGCCTGGTCCCAGTCTCAGCCCCGGTCTGGTCCCAGTCTTAGTCCTGGTCTTAGTCCCAGTCTTAGTCCCGGTCTTAGTCCCAGTCCCGGTCTTAGTCCCAGTCTCAGTCCTGGTCTCAGTACTGGTCTATTCCTGGTCCGGTTCCAGTCTCAGTCCTGGTCTGGTCCCGATCTCATTCCTGATCACCGGACAGTCTACGCGGGCACATCTCTGGGCCCGTCCTGACACTCAGTCCTGGTTCAGTCCTGGTTCAGTCCTGGTTTAGTCCTGCTTTAGACCTGGTTTAAACCTGTTTCAGTCCTGTTTTAGTCCTGGTTCAGTCCGTACGCGGCGCAAAAGTCCAGCATCGCAGTTTAACACAAAATCAAAAACTGAAAAAATAAATTGTTAAAACAAACCAAATAATGAAGAAAATATATATATATTTTTATTCCTTATTTTATTTTGAAAAACAAATGAACAAATAATACACGGATTAGAGTCGATGGGGCCAGAAGTGCCCCTATACTCACATCCTGTTTGGAATACAACAGCGAGTGCACTAGCTTTGTTCATTTATAAATACAGACTATGGGAAAAACTGATGAAATATGAAGAGATTTGCAAATGAATTATAACTTTTGATATGTTTATGATAAGGATTATAATCATTCAGAATCAGAATCTAATGTTTTTTTTTTTAAAGTAGAGCAAAATACATTGTTCTTTGTGTTGCGATAAGTCCGGCCTCCTAAACAAACAGTGAAAAACAACACGCCCTAAATGAAAATATTACTGGAACATCGTGAATCAGCAGAAAAGTGGAGCGGCTCTTTAAATGTGCACGGTCAGGAAAACTATGTCAACTATGTGTGAACAAAGCCTGGACTCCAAACTGGTTTTTCTATCACACTTTGCATCAGACTCAATGTTCTCTGTTCTCAAGTCACTAGTTTCCATGTTAGGATCAATCCTCTGCTCCTCTGACCCTCACTTTTGCTTTTCTGACCTCATCTGCTCCTCTGACCCTCGCTCCTTCTCGTCTGACCCTCGCTTCTGCTCCTCTGACCTCCTCTGCTCCTCTGACCCTCGCTTCTACTCCTCTGACTCTCACTTCTACTCCTCTGACCCTCGCTTCTGCTCCTCTGACCTCCTCTGCTCCTCTGACCCTCGTTTCTACTCCTCTGACTCTCACTTCTGCTCCTCTGACCCTCGCTTCTGCTCCTCTGACCCTCGCTTCTGCTCCTCTGACCCGCACTTCTGCTCCTCTGACCTCCTCTGCTCCTCTGACTCTCACTTCTGCTTTTCTGACCTTCTCCTCTGCTCCTCTGACCCTCATTTAAGCTCCTCTGACCCTCACTTCTACTCCTCTGACCCTCGCTTCTACTCCTCTGACTCTCACTTCTACTCCTCTGACCCGCACTTCTGCTCCTCTGACCCTCGCTTCTACTCCTCTGACCCGCACTTCTGCTCCTCTGACCCTCACTTCTACTCCTCTGACCCTCGCTTCTGCTCCTCTGACCTCCTCTGCTCCTCTGACCCTCGCTTCTACTCCTCTGACTCTCACTTCTACTCCTCTGACCCGCGCTTCTGCTCCTCTGACCCTCGCTTCTGCTCCTCTGACCCGCACTTCTGCTCCTCTGACCTGCACTTCTGCTCCTCTGACCCTCGCTTCTACTCCTCTGACTCTCACTTCTGCTTTTCTGACTTTTTCATCTGCTCCTCTGACCCTCACTTCTGCTCCTCTGACCCTCGTTTCTGCTCCTCTGACTCTCACTTCTGTTCCTCTGACCTTCTACACTGCTCCTCGGATGCTCAATTATGCTTTTCTGACCTTCTTCCACTGCTCTTTTGACCCTCGTTTCTGCTCCCCTGACCTTTTCTGCTTCTCTGACCCTCGCTTCTGCTCCTCTGACCTTCTCCTCTGCTCCTTTGACCCTCACTTCTGTTCTTCTGACCCTCTCCTTTACATCCTCTACATCCTCTGACCCTCTCCTCTCCATCCTTTGCTCCTCTGACCCTCACTTCTCCTCCTCTGACCCCTCTCCTCTGCATCTCTCCTCTGACTACTTTTCTAACTGCTCTTATGTCTTTCCCCAGGTGTCTTGACCAACCATGAGCGACTCCAGACCTCCTCAGCAGAACGTCAAGCCCAAACTTCCCAGCAACAGCACCGGCAGCACCCACCACAACCACCAGAGGGACGAGCCGAACGGGAAGGAGAAACCTAAAGTCCGCCGCTCGCGTAGCATCGATTCCATTCGCGATCGCGGCCGAAGACGAGACCGCAATCCCCATGGCGAGAGGAGACGGCGAGGACGCAGCGAGGAGGCGAGGAGACGAGACACGAAGAAGGGCGAAATGGAAAAGAGGAGGAAGTACGTCCAAAACGACATAGACGAAACGGAGTGCGCCATTTGCTTTTGCTCGTACGACAATATTTTTAAAACTCCAAAAGTTCTATCTTGTGGACATACTTTTTGCTTGGAGTGTTTGGCGCGAATTAACGTCACGTCGGTGGAACTCAAAAGTTTACCGTGTCCAGTTTGCAGAGAAATCACCCAAATCCCGCACGGACAAGATCTACCACGCCTCGGCACCAACGAGGACATCCTCCACAAGCTGCCCCCGCAAATGCAGCGAATCCTGTCCATCCGCTTCAAACGCAGCAAGGGCAAGCTGATGCTGAAGACGCAGCACCAAGCTCACCAGCAGGGGGCGCCGGCGAGTCCCGTCAAACCCAAGTCCAGCCCAGTGGTCCCGGTAGCAGACGCTGTGGATTTGGAGCAGGGCGCGGAGCCGAGGACGGTGGTGGACGTGGGGCGACCGCCGAGCAGGGTGCGCGGCAGGCTCAGGAGGCTGTTTCGGTCGGATCGCTGTTACTACGGGGTCGTCGTGACGATTATAACCATCACGGTGATTCTGATGCTCATCGGGATCCTGGCGTTCGCTATTATCCCAAACGTGCAGAGACGGCCGTTCAATTACCCCGGCAACTACACCTCCTCAGAAGACGATTCACCATGAAGGACTGGACTGCTTTATATAAGGGAACACTTTCAGGCGCGCTGTGTCCGCCACCTGTTTGTCTCTGCCTGGAATGTTCCACAGTATGGCATTATATTTCTCTACCTAGCATTTTTACTTAGTTACAAACATTTTCCTTTGCCCAAAAATACTTTTAAAAACTTGGGCGGTCACCTCTCCACTAGGGCTGATCGATTATGGAGAAAATCATTATCACGATTATTTTGGTCAATTTTGAAATCACGATTATTCAAACGATTATTTTTTAATTACAGGATGCATTTATTCAGCATTTTTCTCTTTCTCTCTCAGGAGAAAAAAAAAAAATTAAAATCTAAACACTTTATTATTGATAATTTAAGCAAAACTTTCAAATTGAAAATAAATGCAGGCTACAAATATGAACCTTAGAGCAGTTTTGTGATATATAAAACATAAAATGAATCAAATATACTTTGAATAAACATGAACATGATATAAGACAAAGAAAAACATATCTCTATATGTAAAAATAAATAAATAAATATACTTAACAAAATAAACTCTGTTAAACTAAATTGTTTCAACTCGATTATATGAGTTTAAAGAACAACTGACACACAAATCAAAATCTCAATCAAAATTCGATTAATTTCACAGCCTTACTCTCCACAGATCTGACTTGTAACTTGGCCTGGTGGCTGTTGCCATACTGTGGGACATTTGGCAAAAAGAGACATCTCCATAGAAACCAGCAGGTGACCAACACTCCACCAGAAATGCTGCACAGTGTAGCTTTAAAGCTTTAAGTATAACAACTGTTATTTACTATCTTCCACATGGGCCCTTCACTGTGGGTCCCTACAAACCAAAGACGTCGATGTTAGGGTGCTGTTTCCACGGTTACGAGATTGGCTTGTATTGGCTTGTTTTGAATATTCTGGGGCTTTTCTGCGCCACCTCTTCCTGTGTTTGAGGACTCTGTTTTTTCCCATTAACACAAAACATAAACAATAGGAGGATAGGTCAATCCTCCAGCTAAGGTTGTCCTGACCAAGACGAGCTCAAGATCTGAGACGCATTAAGCCAATTTGACTTTTCTCAGCTTGTACTCATGTTGTTCCTTCCTCCAAAACATGGCTGGAGTTGTATTTTACTTCATTCGTATGTCGGATGAATTAGAATTGATTTTTTTGGAGGATAAGCCCCTTGAGAAGTTTCGCCATCTCGTTTTCGAGGGTTCCTCATAGTCACAACAACTGAAGACAGACACAGCAGGACCGACAATAGGCTACATACATTCAGAAAAGAAGAAAAACAAAACAAAATCAACAGCCCAAAGTCCAATTTTAACACAAATTAAGACAAAGTTCAAATATAGTCACAAAATACAACAAGATAAACAACAAAATTTAACAAGATGATCAACAAAATTCAACAAGATGATCAAAAACAATTACCCAGGTTCTGTAAATCTTGCACCAGAGAATTTTTAAATGAAAGGACAGAAGGTAATACACCAATCAAATGGAGCATTTATAAAAAATATCTGATCTGGAGTAAACTGTAAGAGCATCAAAATGAAATTAAATACTGCTTGAGATATTCAAGATAACTGAGACGAAAAAGGTAAATAATAACCAGTGAAGTTGACGTTAGTTGACAGAGTTGAGTGATGAATCTTGTTTGAAATTTCCCAGTATTGTTGCGTCAGAGGTAGAAACTTTGTGCACATTTTAAGGCGTTAATGGAGCACTTCCTGTATTACCACATAACATCGCAAGCTGTGTGTTTTCTGTTTGAGAGAAGAACTCAGCCTAAATGTGCAGGGTTTGTGTGTTAAAAGTGTGAATGAAACAAAGCACAACTCCAGGTCAGTTTGCGATGAGGAAACTACATTAGAACATAGATCAGAAACTAGAGTTATATAAGGGCCCAATAGATAAACAAATCATGCATTATATTAAAACGACCCCCATTCGAATTTTGAACTTCTCCATTTTACTGAATTTGCATCGTCATAGTGATCGTGATGATAAAACTACCTCTTCAGCATTTCCAGAGTCTGTCCGGGGCCAGGTTTCATGCGGGAATGAAAAGCCAAGCCAATACAGTGTCTCGTTTCCATGGACAGGTTTGAGGTTCCTTTGTCTAATTTAGTGCCAAATGTGCCAAATGTTCCTCAGTGACACTTTTAAAAAAATTTTTTCGAGGAGACATATTGTGCAAAATCGACTTTATCGAGCTTTTAACCATGTTCTTTGGGATTTGTGCATGTTTGAGTCATATTTTTTCTCCTGTATTCAAGACGTCATTGCTCCGATTTACCCGTTTCCCCCTACCACCCAGACACGCCCACTGTGACGTACTAACTTACTAACTAAATGAAAAAAGCTATTCCTAGTGTGATGTCCAGCAGTCTGTAGTTGTGATCATGTTTATTCTAAAATACCATAAAGGGGCAGGTGGAAATCATCTCCTCTTCTTTTATTACGTAATGGGCTCTATTCACGCTTACGTCACAAAACCAGAAGACGTTTGGAAACATGTGGATGACGACTTCCTTTGGGCTCTGTAAATAGAGAAAATGACCCAGTTTTCTTCATCTAGATGTCATTGAATTCTTTTTTTCTTTTATAAATTGCCTCTTCATTTGTGTATTATAATTTGTCTAACTTAATTTAAACAAAAAAAATGTCATGTTCGGCAGATCAACAGTTCTAACTAGCTGTGACATCGAAGACGCGATTCGTAGTGTCGTAGTACTTGACACTGGTCTTGGTCTTGAGACCGGGCTCGAGACAATTTTTTTGCGGACTTGGTCTCATCTCGAACTTGACCGTGCTTGGACTCGACCTTGTATGCGCTTGGACCCGGTCTTGTCTCGGTCTTGAAGGCGCTTGGACTCAGTCTTGACTCTGTCTTGTAGGCGCTTGGACTCAGTCTTGACTCTGTCTTGTAGGCGCTTGGACTCAGTCTTGACTCTGTCTTGTAGGCGCTTGGACTCAGTCTTGACTCTGTCTTGTAGGCGCTTGGACTCAGTCTTGACTCTGTCTTGTAGGCGCTTGGACTCAGTCTTGACTCTGTCTTGTAGGCGCTTGGACTCAGTCTTGACTCTGTCTTGTAGGCGCTTGGACTCAGTCTTGTCTCGGTCTTGTAGGCGCTTGGACTCAGTCTTGACTCTGTCTTGTAGGCGCTTGGACTCAGTCTTGTCTCGGTCTTGTAGGCGCTTGACTCAGTCTTGACTCTGTCTTGTAGGCGCTTGGACTCAGTCTTGACTCTGTCTTGTAGGCGCTTGGACTCAGTCTTGTCTCGGTCTTGTAGGCGCTTGGACTCAGTCTTGACTCTGTCTTGTAGGCGCTTGGACTCAGTCTTGTCTCGGTCTTGAAGGCGCTTGGACTCAGTCTTGACTCTGTCTTGTAGGCGCTTGGACTCAGTCTTGACTCTGTCTTGAAAGTGCTTGGACTCAGTCTTGTCTCGGTCTTGAAGGCGCATGGACTCAGTCTTGTCTCGGTCTTGAAGGTGCTTGGACTCAGTCTTGTCTCGGTCTTGAAGGCGCATGGACTCAGTCTTGTCTCAGCCTCAAGGTCTGACACTCAATTGATAAAATGGAGATAGATTTTTAAAAACACTGATATATAAACGTGCCAAAATAACTGTAAAATACAAATAAATGATGAAAATTACAAAGATGGTCTCGATTTGGCCTCGATGGGCCGTGATCTCTGTCTTGTCTTAGTCTCAGCCATTAGAGGTCTTGGTCTTGTCCAGGTCTCGGGACCCTGTGATCTCGGACAGGTCTTGGTCTTGAATAGAGCGGTCTTGACTACACCACTAGCAGTTAGAGTCCCGTCCTCCATGGAAAGCTTTGGCAAGTTGTGAAGACGCTGCTGCTGAATTCACGGTTTTATCACATGCTCAGTGTCAGGAACTACACCGGAAGTCATCATCCGCATGTTTCCAAATGTCTTCCGCGTCAATAAGTCCTATTTGAGCTCAAAATAATGATCCACAGCTGACAAAAGCACAATATGTCTTCTCTAAGCCCCATCGCTCCATAGTCCAGCGTGGGACCAGTGTGCACACTTAAGACATGGACTTTAAAATACACAGCCATAAATGTAAAACTACTAACGTGTGAATAAATGCCTCATATTTTTCTGTTTGCTGTTTGTTCGTATTAAATATCTGTAAAAATGAAATGATGCTGTGGTGAAGGTGAACTGTCGGCACTGGACTCTGAGAATGACGGAGATTTTTTGCACAGATTTAAACAGAAACCGGATCAGAAGCACGTCTCAAAGCTAACTGTGAAATCCTACATCATAACCTTTTAATCTACTGAGTGCACTTTTTGACTTTGAGTATTTGAATCTGAAGGAGAAATTCATGTTGTATCTGTTTTTATGCATCACTGTAAATACCAAATATGAAATTTATATTTAAGTAAATAAAGTTTTGAGAATAAACAAGCTGATTTTGTCTGTGTTTGTCCCGAGGGGCAACTGAAAGTGCATGTGACAGGTTAGAATACTAATTTTTATATTTTTTTAATAATTATATTTGAATTTTTACTAAAGATCTTGTCCAGTCTTTTTTTAGTTTTGTCATTTTGGTGACGTTTTTGAGCTAATTTTATTTTGTTGCGTACAGGCAGCAGATGTAGACGTATGTTACCAATAGCAACTGTAATGTTTACAAGGGCCAAGCCTAATTTACACAATAGTTATGATTGATGATGATAACAATTACAATTAAATTACATTATTTTCTTAAATCAATATTTAAAGTAGGTTTAAAGTGTAAAAAATGCCTTGATGAAATTGTTCAAAGTTCAAAAAAGGTTATTGTCAATTCTTTATGCGAAACATGAAGAATCAAAATTGTGTTTCTCACACCCATGAGTATAAATAAATAATAATAAATGGAAAAGTCGAATTGTTCTTCACTGGGGAGACGCAGATTCCTGCTTCCTGGCTGCCTGGTGGGTAGAGAGGGGAGAGAGTTTAGCATCCTAACAGCCTGGTGGATGAAGTGAGTCTGTTGTTGTGGGAATGGAGGCTCCCGTACCTCCTCCTGGAGGGCGGGAGGAACAGATCGTGTGAGGGTTGACTTTCATCACTCACAGTTGTGATGGCTTTGCAGGTGAGGCAGGTGGTGTATATGTGGATAAGGTGGATGGTGTATCTCAAGGTGAGACTGGTGGTGTATATACGGGCAGTGGTGTATATGAGGGTGAGGCGGGTGGTGGTGTATAGACGAGTGAGGTGGGTGTTGTATATGCGAGTGAGGTGGGTGGTGTATATGAGGGTGAGGTGGGTGGTGGTGTATATGAGGGTGAGGCGGGTGGTGGTGTATAGACGAGTGAGGCGGGTGGTGTATAGACGAGTGAGGCGGGTGGTGTACATGCAGGCAAGGCGGGTGGTGGTGTATAGACGAGTGAGGCGGGTGGTGTATATGCGGGTGGGTGGGTGGTGTATATGCGGGTGAGGTGGGTGGTGGTGTATATGCGGGTGAGGTGGGTGGTGGTGTATATGAGGGTGAGGGCGGTGGTGTATATGAGGGTGAGGCGGGTGGTGTATATGAGGGTGAGGCGGGTGGTGTATCTGCAGGTGAGGCGGGTGGAGGCTCTCAGTGTTTCCTCTGTAGAATGTGTTGATGATGGCGGTGAGGCTTGAGTTTCTGCTGGGTTGTTGGTCCAGGAGAGCTCCTCACTGATGTGCACCTCCAGATGTTTAGTGCTGCTCACTCTCTCCACAGCAGCACCGTCGATGGTCGGTGGGGGGTGTTGGGTGGGGCCTCTCTGGAAGTCGACAACAATCTCCTTATCTTGTTGACGTTCAGCTGGAGGTTGTCGTCTCTGCACCACGTGGTCAGAAGATCGACCTCTTTCCTGTAGTCAGTCTCGTCGCCCTTGGTGATGAGACCCACCAGAGTTGTGTCGTCCATGAACTTCTCAAGGTGGTTGGTGCAGTAGGTGGTTGTGCAGTTATGTGTCAGGAGCAGTGTTGGGAAGGTGACTTTTAGAATGTATTCCTCTACAGATTACATACCTCAAAATGTAGTTTGTAATGTAATCCATTAAGTTACTGAAGGTGAGTAACGTAATCTGAATACTTTGGATTACTTGATTTGCTGTAGAGAATTTTTTGTCCTGTTTTAGACCTGGTTTAGACCTAGTGTTAGACCTGGTTTTAGATCTGGTTTACACCTAGTTTAGACCTGATTTAGACCTGGTTTTAGACCTGGTTTAGGCCTGGTTTAGACCTGGTTTAGACCTGGTTTTGACCTAGTTTAGACCTGGTTTAGATCTGGTTTTAGACCTATTTTAGACCTGGTTTTAGACCTGGTTTAGACCTAGTTTAGACCTGGTTTAGACCTGGTTTTAGACCTGGTTTTAGACCTGGTTTAGACCTGGTTTAGACCTGGTTTAGACTGGTTTTAGACCTGGTTTAGACCGGTTTAACTGGTTTAGACCTGGTTTTAGACCTGGTTTAGACCTGTTTTAGACCTGTTTTAGACCTGGTTTAGACTGGTTTAGACCTGGTTTTAGACCTGGTTTTAGACCTGGTTTAGACCTGGTTTAGACCTGGTTTAGACCTGGTTTTAAACCTGGTTTAGACCTGGTTTTAGACCTGGTTTTAGACCTAGTATAGTGTCTGGCAATGAGTGGAATTATGGGGGGGGGACAGGAAAAAAACAGGAAAATACCGTCTTGTAATCCACTTATTTTAACAAAGTAACTGTAATCCAATGACCACTCATTGAAACAGTAACCGTAACTGAATACAGTTACTCATAATTTGTACTCTGATTACATAACTCCGGTACATGTAATCTGTTACTCCCCAACACTGGTCAGGAGGATGAAGTGGTGAATGAGCCAAATGGTGGATGTGGTGAATTGGTGACAGTTGATGACATTCTGTTGAAGACCTGAGCACTACTTCCTGTATTTTCCTACTTTTCTTGTCACTGTCATTTACAAGTTTTCTGGTAGCGGGTCTGTCACCTGCTTGTTTCCATGGCTCCACCTGGAATGTTCCATAGTATGACATTAAATTAGGGTGATCGGACGTCCCTGGCTGAGTCCCAGTGTTGAACCCTGTGTCCCCTGTCCCTGCGGATTTATCCAAAACCAGTGAAATGTCCCTATTTTTGACCAATTTTATATTTATTTTATATTGACTATATACAGAAACACTGCTTAAAAATGACCAAAACACAAAGAAAATGTGAACATACTGATTCAAATGCCACGTCTGGGCTGAGTGCAGAACAATTTTCTGTAATTACACACTCGTTTCGCAATTTTATTATTACTAATCATTTCAAACTGAGTGTGTCCCAGTTTTTGATGTTGAAATCCTGGTCGCCTACATAAAACAGATCTACCCAACATTTACTCAATTACAGGAGGTTTTATAGCTCAAAAATACCTAGAAAAACAAACATTCTTACTGGGTATAGTGTCACCTCTCCACAGATCTTACCTGTAACTGGTTTGATTTGATTAGGGTGACCAGATTTTCAAAATAAAAAACTGTTACATCCCTGGTTTGTGGTGGTTGGTAATAATAAAATTCTGAAATAAGCGTTTAATTAAGGAAAACTGTTCTGTACTCAGCACTAATATGAGTCAGTATAGTTACATTTTCTTTGTGTTTTGGTCGTTTTTAAGCAGCTTTTCTGTATTTTACCTAAACAAATGACAATGTGTGTCTCTCTTTACTGTTGGTAGGCATCAGATTTGGGTAAAAATAGGGACACTGGAGACATTTCTTGTATAAAACTTGGAGAAATCACAGGTTTTGGATAAATCCGCTGGGACAGGGCTGTCACTGATCACTCAGGGTTCGATCTCCATGAAGATAGAAAGGTTTAATGACATACTGTAAAACATTCCAGACAAAGCAATAAATTCTCTGTGAAGAAAAGCATTTGACGAACCCTCCACCAGGAACGTTACACAATGCACCTTTAGTTGATCTAAGACTGTGATAAGCATTACACAGCAAACCTTACATAAGACTCAGGTGCAAATATTACACAACAAAGATTTATTCCATGAAATTAAGTTAGATTAGATATATATGGAAAATATATGGATCTGTCAAATGCATTTGAAACACAGTGAGTAGAGAT